TCTCTCTCTCTCTCTCTCTCTCTCTCTCACACACACACACACACACACACACAATATGCTCATCGCCTTATGAACATAAGAAAATTATGAATAAGGACTAACTATCGAGATTTCATTTGGTACTTTTTAAAAATGAATTTTAGATTTAGACTCTGACTTTGTATCCCTCAAATGCTGTGGGAGAAAGTTCAAATTCAAAATAAATGGAGCTAGATGGGTAAAGGACCTCCCAATTAAAGACAATGTAAATTCTCCATCATCCACGATTATCCCCCGCGGCAGTGCCACTGACTGTAGTGTCTTTAGGCCATTCCCAAAGGGGGGGACATTTCTCCTTCAAGCACAGTAGAATTGTAAATGGGCTGATTCATCATGTCACGCTCATGACTGTGCCTGATCAACAACAGAGAACTGCTGCTTTTTCTTTCCTAATCCTTACTATTGTCATTTTCCTCTACTTGTTTTGTATGTTTGTCACACTCTTGTGACCTGATATTTCCAGGGTGCCTTGATAGTCGAAGCAGACTTTTTGCTGTTGAAGCTAGAGAGGTGAGCAGAGTAAGTCTGATTCCCTGTAAAGACTTCTCTGTTGACACCCACCCCTTGGCACTCATATGACCTTATGCAGTTGCAAACGCCGCAAAAAACCCCTACTAAATAAAAAATAAATAACAATAATTCCAGGAGCCGCATCAGCCTTAGAGAAAAGCACGCGAAGCATCTGTCCGACCTCCGGGCCTACTACGAGGAGGAACTGCGAGAGATGAGACAGCTGCTTTCCTCCAAGCAGGACCGCGAGGTGGGAACAGCGACCGACAGCGGCAACAGTGGCAGCAGCGGTGGTGACGGGGCAGCAACGGCTGCCGCAGCGATGAATGCGGGAGAGAGGATTCTGGTCAACGAGAATCACGAGCTACGACAGCGCTGTCAGCAGCTGGAGGATGATTGTCAGGATGCCAAGATGTGAGTGTTTGTGTGTGTGTGTGTATATAAGTTGTCTGTGTTGTGTGTGTGTTTATGTATGTGTGTGTGTGTTTGTGTGTGTGTGTGTGTAAGTTGTCTATGTGTGTGTAAGTTGTCTGTGTGTGTGTATGTGTGTGTGTGTGTAAGTTGTTGTGTGTGTGTTTGTGTGTGTGTGTGTAAGTTGTCTGTATATGTATGTGTATGTGTAAGTTGTCTGCATGTGGAGTTTGTGAGGGGGGGGGGAGGGGGGATGTTGTCTGTGTGTGTGTGGGGGGGGGGGTTGTCTGTTTCTGTGAAGGTGGACATTTTCTGTGTGTGGAGGTTGTTTGTCAGTGCGATGTGGGTGGTTGGTGGGTGCTCTGATATGGTTTGCTCCTTCTTTCCTGTTAACATCTATCAACCTTATCCCTCCTCTTTCTTTTTTTTTTTGTGTTTGTTACTCTCTTGTAATACCACTAACCTTCGACACTTATAATAAGATGTATTCTTGTTTCTTCTTCTTCTTCTTCTTCTTCTTCTTCTTCTTCTTCTTCTTCTTCTTCTTCTCCTTCTCCTTCTCCTTCTCCTTTTCCTTCTCCTTTTCCTTCTTCTTCTTCTTCTTCTTTTTCTTCTTCTTCTTCTTCTTCTTCTTCTTCTTCGACTCCTCCTCCGTATTAATTTTCACAGGAAAAAAGAGATGAATTCTCAATGGAAGTTATTTTTAAATGTGGACATCATTAATTTAGTAAAGGTTCTATGGATACGTGTAAACTCTCAAAATTGTCCAAGACTGGTCGATGTCTTGAAGAGTGGTATTATAACTTTAAATAAATTTTAAGCCTTGAGGGGGGGGGGAGTGGTGGTTGTTACAGGTGATGGTCTTGGATCGATGGATTTCAGAGCAAGTTCAACTCTATTCAAGTGTTCATTTTTTCCTTGTAGTAAGAGTTTTACTTCATAATGGTTTTATATTTCCATCATACCAAGTAAGTTTATTATTGTCAAAGATTATACTGAATAATGAAAATGGGCTTGAAGTGAAGACTGTAGCTGAGGGTAAATTCACTTTTGATTTTTGTTTAATGAAAAGTAGGGAAAAACAAAATTCTATGTATGTCGCGGCTTGAAAGTGCAGTAAAACCTCAAACCTGTAGAGAAAAAAGTTTCATGGAGTTCCTCCTTTACTCTCATTTTTGATTGTTACCTTTCACAGCCAAATCCGAGAGCTTCAGCAAAAGATGCAGGGCTTGGAAATCCGAGCAGTATGTGGTTTTTTTTCTCTTTTAGATATAAGCAGTAATTTGAGTGTGTATATACCTTTTACTTTCTAAAGCAGGCTCATGATATTTGTCCTGTAAATATCAAAGCTCCTTTGAGATCTAACTTTACAAAGCAAAGTCATAATAGTTCCTCTTAAATGTTCAAGCTCCTTTGCTGTTTAATTTTATAAAATTTTATAATTCCTCCATAAATGTTCAAACTTCTTTGCTTTCCTACTTTACTAAGCAAAGTCATGAAAATTCCCCTGTAAATGATCAAGTTCCTTTTCTTTCTATATTTACAAAGCAAAGTCATAAAAATGTCCTTGTAATTGTTCAAGCTCCTTTGCTGTCTAACTTTACAGAACAAAGCCATGATAATTCCTCTGTTAATGTTCAAGCTCCTTTGTTTTCTAACTTTAAAAAGCAAAGTCATGATAATTCCCCTGTAACTGTTCGAGCTCCTTTACTGTAAAACTCTTACTGAAGCTAAAAAATTCCTTCTCAGTCTGACTACGCAGAGCGCTACGACACCACACAGTCCCAGGTGTTGAGCCTGAGGTCTCGGCTGGAGGAACTCACAGAGTTTGCCAAGGAGAAGGAGAGTCGGGCCGGTGATCTTGACTCGAAGAACAAGCGACTGGGAGACAGTTTGCAGATGGCTTACAAGGTGAGGGGAAGGAGGGAGGGGAGGAAGGAGGGGGAGGGAGGGAGAGGGGAGGAGACGGGGACAGGGATAGAGAATGAGAGAGAGAGAGTGAAAGAGAGAATGGGGAGGTGGGGGGATTCGCTGTTGCGAGGAAGAGAGAAAAAGAGAAGGAAAGGAATAGAGAGCTAGAGAAAGAGAGCGGAAAAAACGGAGACAGAGAGAGCAGTTTGTGTACAGAGAGAGTGAGGGTGAGATAGGATGATGGTGTGGCACTGAGGTACAGAGAAGGAGAATACTTATCTTATAATGTGAACTCATATCTTCTTTACCTGAAGGCAAAGCATCTGACTGCTATACCAAAGATACTGTCGACAAGCTGTTCCAATTTATTAAGTACAGAAAGCAACATTTTTCAGGAGAAATACAAAGATTGATTTATTCTTTTTTTTTTTGGGGGGGGGGGGGGGGGGGGTCAACATTTAAAATTTGAATTTTTAAGAAAGTATATTTTTAGTACATGCAACTAACACCACTGAGCACACACACACACACACACACACACACACACACACACACACACACACACACACACACACACACACACACAGCCAAACACGTACACCTTTTCTCTTATCTCACATGCACATATATAATTCATTATTACTTCGGTATGCTTCCTGTGAGATGTAGAGTATACCTTCATGTTCAGTTATTTTGTTGTTATTCTTGACTAAAATAGTTTTTCTTTTTTTTTATTTATGGGATTTCAGAAAGAGAAAGAGCTGACAGAGTCTTTACACAGTGCCAAGACAACAATTCAGAGGGTGAGTAACATTAGAAATTCTTTGCTAGTGCTGAAAGTAGTCTGAGTGGGCTTCCCATTAGTAAATAATGATTCACCTGCTTAGTGTAAGCCTCTGGCCATACGCCATGTGGAAAAGTGACATATGAAGAGTGTTGCACTGAGCAATCGAATTGGGAACAGACAAATGCTGTTTAATGGACACTTGAAAAGACATATAGGCCTTGAATATCTCGCTTTCACTGGAAAAATAGAATGCAAAAGAGGCCGGGGTAGACAGTGAACAGCGTACTAAGAGATGGTTTTTTTAGAGCACCGGAGCAGAGAAATAAGCGGGCAACCATGATGATCGTTAATGTCTGTTTCAAATTTAACACTTGATGATGATGATGATGATGATGAGGATTGTGCTATTGTGTTTCGTGTGTGTTGTTAATGTAGCCTTTAGTTTCATTTATGTATGCATCGTATTTACCATTTAACCTAGGTTTTCTCAGGAGACATTGATCAAAGGTGGACTTTTTATTTATTTGTTTTCGGTTGATTGATTGAATAATTTATTAATTAATTGATTGACTGATTGACCCATTCATTCATTCATTCATTCCTTCATTCATTCATTTGTTCATTTGTTCTTTCATTCATTTATTCATTCATTCATTCATTCATTCATTCATTCATTCATATATTTTTCAATTGTAATTTCTTAAAATTTGTGTTGCATGTGCAGTTGGTGGACAAGTACGAGACCTTGGAGAAAGACCATCAACTGCTCAAGGTGAGTCCGTTGAGCTCTGTTAAGCTTTCTCTCTCTCTCTCTCTCTCTCTTCTGGCGCTGTGGCTTCACAAACGGTCAGCGATGCCGACAGCACGCAGGAACTCAACACTTGCCCGGGGGTCCTTAAAAAGTGCTGAAAGTGGGTTACTGAAATGTCCCAGCAGACGGGTTCTGGTAGATAGCTGGCGGGACATCTCAGGAACACATGGTCCATAGTTTCATCCTCCTCCTTGCAGGGTCGACAGGATGGATCTGGGTTGTCTGCTGGCGCAATTTTGAGGAGATATGGTCTCAGCATGGGTGATTTTTCACCAGTTCTCAATTGTTAAGCTTTAAGCTGAGAAGGCAATTTCCTAGTTGCCAGTTAACCTTTCCATACTTTTTCTCGTGCGTTGATTTAATTTTAATGTTTCGTATTTAATAAAATTCATGTAGGTATTTTGTTAGAACAGGAGTCTGCATTGTAGTGGTTGGAAAGGTTTTTCTTGAGTCTCTCCATGTGTGGTGGACGTTGTTTACCCTCTTAGCTCAGGTTGGCCTTGACTGGCAAGGTTAAAGCAGACAGCCTCTTAAATGATCTAAATTGTTTTGATACATTCAACACAATTATTCTGTTTAAGCTGTCTCACTATCGAAACTTTATTGGTAATGGGGATAAAAACAAAACTAAAAAACCCATAGAGTTGAAATGGATAAGTAATGTTTCAAGAGCTAAGAATGTGTTTCAAGTGTTATCCAGATTGTTATTTGATCTCACAGATGATGAATGGACTCTCTGTTGTGATTTGCATTTTTTCCATCTGTTGAGTGTTACTTTTTTACTAATCTGTTCTGTGTAGACATGGCTATTGTCTGGTTGTGGGTGGTTAGTGGGTCTTTGGGGAAGTTCACTCCATCTTTCCTATCAAATATCTATCGCCGTTATCTCTAGTCCTTTTTTTTTTGTGTGTGTATGTTACTCTCTTGTAACACCTAATCCTTGGCACTTTTGTGATCTGATTGGGATGCAAATGCTGTAAAACTCTTACTAAAACAAAACATTATTTTGTTACTTGGCTGTAGATGATTGACGTCTTTTGTGTAGTCATTTTGGTGCTTTGCTGTTGCATGCAAAAGATATGAATTGAACTCCTGTGTGGTGAGTTGTTTTTATTGACTATCTTCATCTGTCTGCCGAGATGTTGAATTCCTCTCAGCTTGTGTTGGCCCTGACTGGCAGGGCCGAAGCGGCTGCCTTTTAAATGATCTAAATTGTGTTGCTAGGGGCATAAAACACCTGTGACTGGGACGACCATGAGCCATAGACTTATTCAACTCTAAGTATGGTTTGATACATTTTGGTTTGATAATTATAATAATGAGAATTTATATAGCGCCTAATCTCTGGCAGGTTCTAAGCACTGTATGATGCAAAATGATGGATCAAAGGACAGAAAATGATACCATTTAACAATAGCATACACACACTCTACGTGTCCCATGGACAGCTAGAAAAACAAATTAAGAAGTCTTGGTTGAAGCAAATTATAGAAGATAGCTTATGACGAATATCAGAAAGTGACAGGAAAATTTCTTCGGGCACAATGCGGAAAGAAGCATTGGAGAATATTGTAACAACAGGCAAGTTTGATGGAAAGAGAGGCAGAGGCAGACAGAGGGAAAAGATACTGGACAAGATGACAACATGGCTAGGAGCAGCAAGAACAGCGGACACCATTTCTGCAACGCAAGACTAGAGTGAAGTGGAGGTCCATGATCGCCCACGCCAGTCGACAAGGCACCAGATGATTATGATGATGATGATGATGATGATACGCACACTCTCACACACACACACACACACGCACAAAAACACACGCATACACACATCCACACACTACTCTCAGGCGTGCACACATTCTCATTTATTAGATGCTCTAAATAGTTCTATTTGATTACTTGCGTATCTTTTTGCTCACCTGCCCCCTTTCACCTCCCACCATACAGGAGAACATGTCTACCACAGAGGGGAAACTCTTCAGCTCTAGATCTGAGGCCCTGGAGAGCAACAAGTAAAATATTTGCTAGTTTCTTCCTTTAAAAAATGAATAAATAAATACAGTAAAACACGCTAATAGCAAACATGTTGAAAGTAAATAGTGAACATGTACCTAGCAAAGCATGCACACAGCAAATAGATTTTCAAATCCCAATATTTTATTTACACGTGTATTCATAATTCTATATTATATTTGACTTATGTGTGATATAGCAAAATTTGTACAAAATGAAAAGATTTCCACGTACCGCTGATTTCACTATGTGCATAGTTAACTAATATTTTATGTTGGTGAATGTCTTACAAAGTCGGACTGTATTGTTGATCATGTTCCTGCAGCCCTTGGCCTTGTATCTTTTACCCCTGTGTGTTGAGTTGTAGTCCTTGTTTTGTATAGCTTTTTAATCATCTCAGATCTGCACATACAGCTAAAAAATTTGGAGGTCACTGCAAACTAAGGTTCCGACACATTTTCTTTGATTGATGTTAGCCTAAAGCGGGTGAGAGATGTGATAGGGAATTTATATGTGTATACAGTTATACATATATTTATTCATATATAGATAGATGATATAGATGAATTGATTGATGTTTCAGCAAACTGTCTCGGCTGGAGCTTGAGACGAAACAACTACAACACGACAACGAGATTCTCAAACACGAGCTGGCACTTGCTCGCAGGTAAGTGTTTGATAGACATCTGCCGGTAAATGCAATTAGGTCACCATTGTGACGTTACCAATAGAAAAAGAAAAAATAGCTTGATTTTTTTTTTTTTGGTGGTTAGTTGGGGGGAGGTCTTGCTTTTGTAATGAATGGTTTATTGTTATTGGCTCTACCCACCAAATGTTCTCAGTGGAACTGTGGGTTGCTGAGGGCCCACTGGTAGTTTCCTTCTTCTTTACTTTTTTTCTTTATCATTCTGACTTACCTCTCTTCCAGCACTAAATGACCATCACTGTGTCGATGTGCTTCTACTGTGCATTATAAGAACATGTAAAGATCCCCCCTTTGGGAATGGCCTAAAGACACTTCTGTCAGTATGACTGCCCTTGGGGGGGGGGGGGGGGGGGGGGGGGGGGGGGGGCAGAGTGTCTGCCTCCCACCCACTTGATTTGATTGCTTGAGAAAAGATGAGACAAATGTTACTGATCTTTAAGGGAAATTATAGGTGGATGTACAGGAACATCAACATGCGAAGATTCAGTATCAACATAGAAATGCCAGAATTGTAAATGGGCTGATTTATCAATGTCATGCTCATACTGTGCAGAAACAACACAGGGGGAAGTGCCGCTTTTTCTTTCCTCATCCTTACTACCATCTTTTTTTCTCTACTTCTTTTGTATATATTTGTCACTCTCTTGTAAACTGCTATTTCTGGAATGCCTTGATAGTCGAGGCAGACTTTATGCTGTTGAGGCTAGAGAGGTAAGCAGAGTAAGCCTGATTCCCTTTTTAGACCTCTCTGTGGACATCCACCCCTTGGCGCTCGTATGACCGTATGCAGTTGCGAGCGCCGTAAAACCTTTCCCCAAAAAAAGGGCACTCTGGTGCGGTCTGTTCCTTCATTCCTATCAAGCACATATCGTCCTCCTGGTCTTTTTTTGTACGTCACCTATTTGTTGTGTAACACTGTAAAACTTTACGAAAACTCAACTCCTTTGTATTTTTTTCTAGCTCCACCATCACTCGCACTAGCTATGAGGACGCCTACCAGCCCAGGGGTAGCCCCAGCTCCAAGAACTCTCGTAGCCCTCGGCAGACATCTCGGCCTGTACCAGAAAGGTAGGTGTCACAGAGAGCAGAGATGACTGGCCCTGAGGTTTGCTTGTCTGCAAGGACTGAATTGTTCTTAAAATAAATATTAGTCTGTGAGAACTGAACCGTTTGGGTTTTTTTCTTAAAGGAAGAATAAATGGAAATAAAAGAACTGTGTGCGTACCTGGAGAAAGGTACCGCAAGACTCATCTTAGTTAAAGGGCAATATAAATCAAAGATTAATTTTTCAAAACAAAAATGTAGTTCCATTCAAGCAATAATTTTCTTTAGCGAATTTAATTTTCTAGAATTTATGTTTATTCTACACTTAAATTGTAGTTTTCAAGATTTAAAAAAAATTTTTGACACAAGTCGTCTTACATTATAACAAAAATTGTGAGAGAACTTCTACTGTCAGAGCCCACATTGTGGAAGATTTTAGTTGTTCATTCATGAAAACAAATCCCATTTTACTGCATACCAAAATTTAGGTCAGCTTGTTACCTTTCTCCAGCTGAGATGTACCCATAAATGTAACAAAAAAGGAATTGGATTGAAGGTTTTATGCATTTATACCCTATTACACTTCACGAGTTAAGCAAAGTCACAAAGCCACTCATTAAGATTTCTAGCATTGTCTTTGACAACGATTTCTACGACTCGTTCATAAAACTGAACCCCATCACATTGCATATCAAAACTTAGGTCAGCTTATGTTCTTTCTTGTGATGTGTAGTGTGCATAAGTACATGGACACAATAGAGGAAGAGAGGCTTCATGCGTTAAAGCCTACCCTACGACACTTCATGAGCATTGCTAAGTCACTTTGGAAAATTTTTTGTTCTGTTTGATCATTACATAAATGCAATCTTAAGTGAAAAAATGTTAACCTTATTCGTACGCCCTGGGGTCATTTTGTACCCCCAGGGTTGTATTCTTCACATTTTAGAATACTTCTAGTATGAAGATGTTTTTGAAACTTTCAGTATTTCTCAAAAAATCATTTTGATAGACTCCCATGCAATGCGTACGAATCGGATTAACGAGTAAATTTTCTCTTTGGAAAGTGGTGACACAGAGTTCCCCATGTCGTATGGATACGATAGTAAAACACTGTACGGATAGGGTTAATGTCATTTTGCTTTTGTCAAATCATCAGGACATTTCGAAGTTTGTCTCGGGAGAGACAGGAAACTTCCACAGACCAGTCGCCAGAGTCGGAGACAGACAGTGAATTCACAAGGTTCGTCTCTAAGTTAGTTCACTCATTTACATACGTATCTTAGCGTATCTTAGCATTGAAAAACTGGCTGAAATCATGCCTGTTAGTTATCTTTCAGCCCAGAGGCACCAGGAAGTCGTTAAATCTCGGCGGAACCGCTGTGTGCAGGGTTACGTGGAGGTTACTGGCGGATACTGCGTGCTTCAGTTGCAGGCGTGCAAGTCATGCTGTATTTTACACTCTTGACACTAAATACTGGCAGCTACTCACTCTATCCGTGAAATATTCCATACATACTCGATCCTTGCTAAAACAGCACCTGGACATGGATGGCTGGTGCCTCTATAAATAAATCATTGATGGACATACTCAATCCATGAAATATTCTATTTATGTAGATAAAAGCAAGTTTCCACCCTCTCAGTCTTTGAAAACCTGATCTAAATACAATATTTACCTGTGTTACTGTGTGTGCAAAATGTTCTGAATTCCAACAAATTTAATCCGTGCGTATCGTAATCAAGGCTCTTCTATTTTCTAAAGTTCACTATAAATTACAAAGATTTTTGGTACATGTACAGAAGACGTATTTTGTTTCATGTGTATAAATTTCATCATTGTCAAAAGAATGGTAGTTGCGATATCAAGTCACATCCATCTGATTCTCATCTAGTGCCTTGTTATTTGCCAGTGTAACTGTGTGTACTGCATTCTATGCTGTTCTAGGCTCTACAGTTCTCCATTAATTTCAAAGATAATAGTTTCCATGTATGGCAGTGCATATTTCATTGTACTTCATGTGTATGAACTTCATCTTTGTTGGTGGAATGATTATTACGATATCAGGTAAAATCCGTCCGCCTGTGGTTCATTTTAACAAGTTTCCTGAAAACTGCTCATGGAACACACATATGAGTGACATATAAGAGACACACCTCGTCCCTAAATAAACCTTGTTGCATTTGCGGGTGTAAGAGCGTGACTTAAGTACAAAAGCAGCGGAGAAGAAAGGCTAGTGGAAAATACACTATGTAAAGGTTATTTATTATTATCATTCTCGTGAAAGGGTTGAAGAGGTGTTCTGCTCCAGTCAAACCAAATTCTCTTGTCTCCCTCAGGTCTCCTATCATCAGAGCGGAGAGGGAGTTGAAGAAGTTGCAGCACTCCTTGGATGGTGGCGAGTTCGAGCCCAAGCTCCAAAGGAAGTTTTATGGCACAGAGTTGTCATCTGGAAGCCACAGAGCAGGTTGGTTAGGGGTTAGTGTTGAGGTAAAAGTAAACTTGAGCCCTCCATTCCCTTAGATACTTACTTCATCAACTGTGCACATGGGGAGGGGGGGGATTCCACTCACTTTGTTTCTGTATGAGTACAGGGAAGAACATGGACACAAAATGGTCATTTAGTGCTGTGAATGAATTATGACAGAAACAACAGAGAGAAAGTGAATAAGTACCGTATACTCCCTAGGAAGTTGAGATTGTTTCAGAATGCCATCAGATCTGCTGGGGTAATAATGTAGATTGTAAAGCACATACCTTGCTGTTGAGCAGTATTTTGGGGTATACAAATGCTATTTCTCTTTATTACTAAGTAAAACTTGCCAGTGGCACCCTCCAATCACCCACATTCCGCTTTTTGAATGTTGCCTTAACATCATGAGTGAAAGGTGCCTTTTTCAGTGTTTTAGCGTCTGTAAAATGGATACTTGCACTGTATGATTCCCAGGAGAGTGAGATTGTTTCACCATGCTATAAGATGTGTTGGGTAATATTATAAATTGTAAAGTGCACAGAGCTTGCTGTTGAGCGGAAATTTGTCCTCATTATTATTATTATTATTATCATTATTATCATTATTATTGTTGTTGTTGTTGTAATTATTATTATTATAATATTATTGTTGTTATTATTTTTCTTCTAAGAATTGGTTGGGACTTTGGGGGGGTTGTGCCTCAAGTAAACTTTTATCTGTGTTTTTACCTACCCATGAGTACTTACAGGATGAAAGCTATTGGTTTATGAGCTCTAGTGTGGTCTGGGTACCTTTTCTCTTACCTGAGCATGGGTGGTTGGCAGACGCTCTGGTGCACTTTTGCTCCTTCTTTCCTATGAAACATCTATCGTCGTTATCTCTCCTCATTCTTATTTTTTATATATTACTCTCTAGCAACACTGTTAGTCTTTGGCGCTTATATTACTTTCTTGTGTTGCAGTTTCTTAAAACGCGGACAAAAACTAGTACTAGAAGAAAAAAAACTGTTCTATTTCTTGTCTTCCTCAGAATTTCCTAGCTCTCCAAATCGCTCAAACAAGTCTGGCTATTCAGCACAAGGCCTGAACAATGTAACAGCTAAGGACAGCAACAAAAGTAAAGGAATCCTACGGAGGGACGGTGCTACCACCTCCACCACGGCCAGTGCCCCGTTGTCGACAGTTCGAGGACCTGGGAGAGGAGAGAGTGCCAAGGTCAAAGAGGGGAGGTTGTCGGGGACCCGCAGTCCCAGGAGTAAAGATTTGAGCAACGCGTCCAGAAGTAAGTCTTTGTTGTTGTTTTTGTGTTGGACATGAGAAAGCCTAGCTGCTGACAGACCCAGTTGGGAGCAGCAAGTTATTGGAGACTTCACGATTTGAAAAAATCTTGAAGCTTTGATCAAAGCCCGCAAGCTGTGCATGTCCACAAGTTGAAATGAAGCTTTTTAAATGCTCAGTACATGAAAATTTTTCTCCATCAGAATTTGTCTCATGGGCCATAGCAGAAGCACAGTCACCTTAAATTCTTCCATTTCACTTGAGAAATATTCTCCTGTTGGAATGCATTGGTCATCATAAGACATTAATATACGAACTGTAATTTTTATGTTGTGTTATTTGTTATTGTAGGTTGTGTCACTTGTTATTGTTGTTGTTTTTGTACGGGGTCTGTCCCAAACGTAAGTTCACCGTTTTGTGAAAATCAATAATTTTTATTTTGCAGACAGGAATTTTTGTACATAGTAGAAATAACAACTTTTGATCTCCATGCACATTTTCTTCGATGTAGCCAGCGGTCAAACTTGGTGACCGTGTCGTCATGGGCCAGAGTCCTTAGAGCAGCATTTGTTTCCTGCATTTTTTCCTCATCTTTGTGGTTTAGTAAGAGTTTTACAGCGATCGCAACTGCATAATGTCATATGAGCACGCAAAACACAATTTGGTTGCATTCACAACCGTTCACAGCATGTCTTGGTTTTGGTCAATATTTAGATTAAGTCACAGCCCCCCTCAGTCCCTCCTTGAATTGGCGCTTTTATGACCTTATGCAATTGCGAGCGCCATAAAATCTCTACTAAAACAAAAGCAACAACCTCTTGGATTTTTTGGGGGGGGGGGGAAGAAATGAAAATTCCACCACCGCTTTGGGGAGAATACGTATTTTGGTTAAGATGTTATAAAGTCCTTGGTCTGAAAGGAGTATGTTATACCGAGATTTTACTGTATCATCCTTCTTAAAAAATTTTGTTTCCATTTTTTTTCTCAGAGCCGGTGTTTGAGAACGGTCTGAGCGGCGAGCGGGCAGTAGAGATGACCAAGTCGGGTGAGGTGTTGGCGCGGCCAGCCTGGGAAGACGTCTACACTTCGATGGCTCGCCCGTCAAACACCGGGAACAAATCCTCCAACCTGAATTCAGTAAGGGATTTGTGTGCTTTCCCAGGAAATTGAGATTGTTTCAGAATGCTATCAGACTTGCTTGGGCAATAATATAGATTATGAAGTGCATAGAGCTTGCTGTTGAGCGGGAATTTGCACTATACAAATGCTATCTATTATTTTTACACCCCCATCGGTAGATTTAGATAATTTAGGTGGCAGGCTTTCACCTTTTATGAAGCAGTCAGGAATATTGACAATAGGGCCACAAGTATTATAGACATTGAAAGAAATTTTCTGCGATGTCTTTATGGCATACTCATGTTCCGACAATACTGCCTAAGAAGGCAACCCATTGTCGAGGAGCAAAGTGGCCGTATTAAAAAGGTGGCTATCTTTCACAGTGTCATTGTTATGTAAATTATATGCAAGGGAGGAAAAGGGATGTGGTCATTTGTACAGGTGATTGTCTTATACAGGTAGCCATTAGAGCAGGTCCCAGAAAAGCTTTTGTTTGTTGTTTTTTTTCTGGGGGGGGGTTTGGGCGGGTGTGGGGTGGTTGTGTGTGTGTGCCTCTCTGGTGTGTTTAAATATAAACAGCTCTGGCAGTTTGTAAAGTTTCAAAAGTTCAAAGGTAATCGTGAGGTTGCGAGTTCGAGAATTCAAGCCACAGGCCTGATGTTGTCTCCTTGGTAAAGGCACTTTACTCGTGTTTTCCTCACTTCACTCGGAGAGGAATGGGTACGCGGCCAAAGACAGCGAAAGATCTTGTCTGTTTGTCAGTGTCTTAGCCCCTATAAATGACAGCTTGCATTGTATGCTTCCTAGAAAGTTGAGGTGGTTTCAGAATGCTATCAGGTCTTCTGGGGTAATAGTATAGATTGTAAAACACATAGAGCTTGCTGTTGAGTGAGAACTAGCCCTATACAAATGCTATCTATTATTGTTGTTATTAAATCTATGAATTCTTTTACGTTTTGTTTCAGACAAGGGACCAAATGCTGCGGGAGCGCCTTCAGAATATTGAGAACCTGGAGCGGAAATATGACGATCTTCAAAATGATAAGCGAAAGGTAGAATTCACTGATTCTAATCTTTGTCTCACTGATAGATTGTGTATGTCTGAACACTAGTCAAAGGATTTGTGACCGTTACGCCTATGTACGTAATCTTTTTAGTAGAGAGCCTAATGTAAATAGTTGTACACCAAAATTGTCCCTTTTTTTTTTTAGCCCATATAAATTAATTATTACTATAAGATCACTTTTTTCTTTAGGTACCAATTTCATTCGTAGTCCATAGGCCTCCTCTTCTTGACGAGGAAAGATGCTTCTTTAAGTTTTGCTGCACTCTGCCTTATGTTGCTGCCACCAGTCTAACTATCTTTGTATTACTGTGAAATATCTTTGTGTCTAACGGTGACCCCAATTGTTATAGTAGGCTCTAAAAATATTCATGGTGGGTAGTTGGGGAATGCTCTGGTGTGGCTTGCTCCTTCTTTCCTATTAAACATCAATCGACCTCGTCACTCCTCCTTTTTTGTTTTTGAAATTTTCCTATAACACCTTTGGCCTTTGACTCGTATGTGAGCTATTTGTGTTGTAAAACACTCACTAAAGCAAACAAACAAAATGTTTGCCTGGAGTAAATCAAATAAAGGGGGAAAAAAATCAATAACTCAACCAACAACCACCTACCCACCCCCCCCCCAGACGCCTACCTCCCCATCCCCACCACCCACACTCATACAACACAGTCACAATCATATGACCCCCTACCAGTAGTACCAGCACCACCACGAATAAACTTGACTGATCAGTGTGCTGTAACTGGTCAGTGTGCTGTCACTAGTCAGTGTGGTGTAACGTTCCATTCTGCTGATTTCAGTTTGAGTCGGCCCTGAGCAAGCTACCGTCACAGGGACACCGCCGAGAGAAGGACCGCCTGGAGACAGAGCTTGACCGGCTGGACAGAGAGCTGGGCTCAGTGCGCATGTCCCTCAAGAGGTTTCATGTGCTCAAGTCAACGATATAGCAGCTCTCCGAGTTCTCCGGGGAAAAGTTTTGGAAATTATAACTCTGGAAAGAGCCATGGAACTTCCAGTATCTTAATCCTTCCATATAAAGCAGTGAGAATGAAGAGATATATATAGAAAATGTATCAGTAGTTTCTGTAAATGCTATTACTTCTTATCTCAGAGGAGGTGAAGCAGATGGATGTGCATGTACAAATATGAAATGCTTTTATGCGCGGGAGGTTGTGGGGAAAATGGCATTAAGAATGCGGATACATCATAGAGAAATGAATAGTTCTGTGGCAGAACTCTGTGCTTCTTGAAATTATAACATTGAGAAACTTGAGTTTCACAGACAGTGCTGATGTATCCAGAGAAGTGCATATCCCAGCTCAACAGTAAGCTCTATGCATTTTACGATCTATATTATTATCTTAGAACACCCAGAAGCATTCTCAGCTACCTTGGAAACCTACTGTGCAAGTAGCTAATTAAGTGCTTGAACGCTTACAAACTGACAAGAGGTTTCATTGTTTATACCTTGGTACCCATTCCCACCTGGGCGAAGTGAGGAAATTTCGAGTAGAGTGCCTTTCCTAAGGACATAAAGTTGGGGCCCTGATGAGTTTTGAACCCACAACGTTTTGGTTGCAAGCCCAACAGCCTTATCATTAGACCGCTGATGTCACCCAAACTCACAAATATACAATGAAGGTGTAGAACCCTAGAAAGAGGTGTGAGGTTAGTTCTGGGACCAAGAGGATGAATCCACACGATAAGGCTCAGAACTTGGACCATGATAAAGGACCGAACTTATTTTGTTTCCTTTTGATATCTGAAGCGTGCTGACAAAATAAGTTACTGCTCCGTTTTTTGCCTCATGGACACTGATAAGTGAAATTTATAGGTCGAGTTTTTACAGTTCATTAGCATAAAATGACGAAAGACATTTTGTACTTCTAGTTCAGCTTACTGACTGGGCAAGCCTTGCCCATCTTCCAATGCTCAGAGATCTCCATCTCTTTCAGCCAACTGTAATCCTTCCCTTCATGACAGCTCCTGCATGTCTGTCGTATATTGAATATGGTGAACGAAGATGCCGTCCTTCTGTACAGTGTGCGTTCTTAAATGCACCCTACAGGATTTCATTAAACTGACTGTTCTACAATTGCTTTGAACAGTATTTTATCAGAAAATTAAGGACAGCTTTGAAATGTGCTATATTGCATATGTGCCAGTCACGTAAATCTGTCATTTTGAAAAGGACTGCAAAATGACTGAATCTGTTCACCGTCCTGGATTGCAAAAATTAATTGCGGTAAAAGTTGTTTTTTTAAACCCATCCTATGTAACAATGGGATTAAAGTATTGTTTGAGAGTTCCTAAGACAGGTTTTTAGCTGCCATTTCAGTTCTTTTAAATACATGCAGTGATATGTGCATTTTGCTATCATTCAAATTATATAAGTAAATAATTTCTTTTTTAACGAATTATTAAGTGCATTATGGTTTGGGGGGTTTTTATGCGCCCTGTTAAAAATTCCAGTTTACCGTATTATTGATCTGTTATTAAAATGTTGTACTAGCAGTCATGCTGACGCACAAGTCACTGAAAATTACTCTTCTTTCATCAAATAACGAGAAGACTCATTGTTGTTATCTACTTTTTTAAATGGTGTGAATATTTTCTTTTGTAGAAATGACCTAGTTTCTACCTAGGGCAAAGTCAAATCTTCCGTAAAATTTCGCTTTGATTTTAAACACAGTTGGTTTTATCTATGTACGTTTCTTGGTCTGTGGGGCACAGATGATCCATTTTAGATTGTTTTTTGTGTTGCCACTTTCTCTAAGCAGTTGTGCCTTATTTCAGATGGCGGCCAGACAAATATATGCACCTAATTAGCAATATCAGTTGATTTGGCTTCAAGATAATCCAAGTGTACTCCTGCAAGTTGACTTTTTTCTCCTTGAACATTGTTTATAAGTTTCTTATTCATTCGGTTTTTGTATATATGTCATCAATCCATAGTCCTTGTACGTAAAGTCTTCTTACTTGCCTGCATATCAAAATACTGTTTTTAAAAAATGTATTAAAAATACCCCCCCGTCTTTTGAGGAAAAAAGAACATTCAGCCTTAAACATTATACAGTCTTGCACACACACATAGTGAACACAAGCATAGTGAACACACACTTTTCCTACAGTTTTTAAAAGTCTTGAATTTTGTCTTATCCATGTCTTTCCTTTGTATTACAACATTTATACATTGTGGAATTAGTAGGTAATGAAACGGTTTCCGTGTCCCACCGATTTCAGTTTGTGCATGCTGGGCTGTATGTTGTTTTTTTGCGACAGGCTGATGTGGAGTGTGTAAAAGATTCCGTAAAATTTGTTTAAAGTATTGTTTTTTTCCTCTTGTATTTTTGTTGTTTCAGGTAAAAAATAAAGTACTGCCCACTTGCAGTGAAATTACTTGATGAACTTAAAACTTCTTGACAATCCTTTCTGTGGCTTTAGTTTTTTGTTTCTTTTGACAAGACTACACTTTGCTTGAAAAAGAAACCAAAGTTTTGGTCCTGTAAATTTATTGTAAGCAAGCTCAATTTGAAAGGAAACTGTCTCAATGGTTTATCGCCTTTCTTTTTTTAATCTTCAAATCAGGTCGTCATTTACATAAATTTACATGATTTTGTCACGTGTGGTATGTTTCTTTTATTTGTAGCTTTATGCGTAGGGTTGGCTTTATCTTCTATACTTGTTTTCGTACAGCTATGTACAAAGAGGTAATATGTGCTACATAGGCATAAAATTCTTTCTAAGACTAAGCAAAAGAAGCAGGTTTGTGTTGGTCTGTGTCTTTGGCATTTGTTTGTTTGACAAACCCCCCATGTTGCATGTTGATGGATAGCTAGAGGACCTCACTGGAAATACTAAAATTGATAATCATTTAGATAATTTCTAGAGTCCCCATGTCTGTACTATACGCTTTAGTTCCTTTACAATACCTTCATCTTCACACAAGATACATGTGAATGAACATGGATACATAAATACGCTCTTAAGAGTAAAGCTCTCTAAATTAACACAATCGATGATGATATATTATGAACATAAGAGTTCTGTACTCGAGGACTTAACTATCAAGAGGGCATTTCATAAGATTCATTTTAAATTTACCTCCGATAGTGTATTCGTCAGTATTGTGGGAAAGAGTTTCAGAGAGATGGAGCTTACTAGAAGAGAAACGACCTCCCGTCGAGGTTTTTTTAAAAACTTCCATTCACTGGTGTTCTAAGCATTTCTTTCCTGGCCAGTTGTTTATGTACCTCATCTTGTGCTCCTCTTTATGGCTGTATTTTCACAAACTGATAATATTTGTTGTGGTCCTGTTTTTTTCTGTCGTTATGTCTTTTACACCATCATGTCAAGTCAGAGGAATGCAGCTTTTGTTTTCGTGTTGTTCACAGTGAGTGAGTGTTTATGATCAGGACGTATATTTACCTTCAATGCAACGGAAATGTTTTCTTGAACCGTCATCAGAAACGAACAGCTCGTCTGTTTATTGACTCCTTCTGCATGAAGTGCCTTGTTTCTTTCACCGCTTCTAGGCAGGTTCGAATTTCCTGTTGCCACTGGGCCACCAACGTGTTTTGACTTTACCTGAGGGCATTTGTCTTCAGAGGGTGGAGGAGTAAAGCTATTTATGGCTTCACATGTGTTTGAGAAGCATGAGAAAGTTGACATACTGGCGTCCATAGTGTAGTGTTTAGGCACTTCACCATTGCACACAAAAGTCCTGAGTTCGATTCTGGAGTGGGAAGAATTTATTTTGACTACCTCGGTCTTTCTGATGTGGTGTTGTTTCCCTCTCAGCCTGGGTTGCCCTGAAATGCAGAGTAGATCCCCACCTCCTAAATGATCTCAACCCCTTGACTCCTACATCTTGATTACTATTATCCCCCATCCAGGAAGGCTGTCATTGAAGCTCCTTTGTCAATGGAAACTCATTATTGACCTCCTTGATATCTCCGCTGCTGCCTAATTTTGAATAAGCCAGCAATCATCGGTTAAAAAATGTGACCTACTACATCTTGTTCTCTCAGTTAGCAGTCAAAGTTGTGTCAATGGGGGCGTCTAAAATGCCTACATTTAAATATAGATTTAAGAGCTGACATGTAGTTACAGCGCTGTTCGAATGGGAAGATGTTTGTTAAGTTGTGCAAGTGTTGTCTTCTACCCTTTCTTTTTCTCTCTTCCACCCCCTCCCTATTTTTTCCCCTCTCTTAGTCATGAAATATCTGTGATACACTGTTTGTACAGTTGTGGCCTCATATTCATAATAATGATAATAATAATAATCATTATTATAATATTTCTTATTTGTATAGCTCCTACTCACATGTACATCCAGTTCTAGACGCTTACCCCAAATTCAAGTACAATTCATATATAATGCATGATGTTGTAGTCGTTTGTTCTTATGGATATATGCCACCTCTGAGTTTCTTTGTGGCTGATTTTGGTTGTGAGCACTCATGTGTACTCTTGTTCTTTACAATGTTGAGTGTGTATGGATCTCTCTCACATTCTCAATTAAAAACTACAAAAAGAGATCAAAGCATAGTCTTTTTTTTCAAATTCCTACTGCTCAACACAATGATGACATTGAAAGATGAAACTTGTTTAAAATAACCTCTAAATGAATATTTCAGCAGTTCATGATGTAGATGTAAAACACAAAAATGTTTTTAAAATACTACACATGAAAGTAACAGTAGTCTCTGGGGTCTTAATTTTCAGAAAGGAGGAAAATGTGACATCACCAGTTTTTTCCCCTGCAGTCTTCAATTGTCACTAAAAGTTTGACAAGTTTTTGCCTGTGGTAAATAGTTGTCAAAACGTGGCGTGATTGAGTCCTGATTGTTCAGTATATTATGCCAGGCAGCTAGATAAAGGGACTTTGTTATTCAATTTTTCTTTAATTATACTTCTTGCTGCTACTATATATATGAAAGTAAGATACTAGTTTATGTATGAGATGCAGATGGGCATATGGATGGTGCTCTTATGGAACCTCGCTAACTCAAATATGTGTATAATTTTAAAAAATTTTTTTGCAACAAGTGATTCCTGATACCTCAATACACAATGTGTATAAGTAAATATTGAATCCAGATTCAAATTAAGAATGCTCAAAAACATACTTTAAATTCTGCATGCACCTGGCTATCCACCACAACAAAATAAGTGATCCGTTGAACCTCCCTAATGCTATATAATGAGTTTTCATCAGACAGAGCGCTGGTCGATCGCCATGGGTCAGTGAACTTCACTAAAGAATTGAGGGACAAAGAAGTTTTCACACACGCGAAACATAATAGCTCACTAGCTGGCCATCAGGACATCAAGGAACAACCCAGAGCCTGTTAAACATGTGCATGTAAAGACAACCCAAAGATAGAGAGGTTAGAATGGAGCAACCAAAAGCTAAGTGTGCTCTGTTCTAACATCGCTAACACATTAGTGAGGTTCAGTGGAGCAGCGCTTGAGACGGAGAGCCCCGCTTAACAAAGGATGTTTTGTCGCTAACTCAGATTGCTCAGTAATGTGTTCTAGTAAATCTCACTTCTTTCTTTATAGAATTTTGTCTATGGCCCTTGACAATACATTGACAGAATTTGATTTCGCAAGTATTAACATTAATAATGTCAGAGAGTCTTTTGTCTCTCTTGTAAAACTTTAAAATTCGAGTTAATAAAGTTCTAACAGAGCGCTATGTCTATAATTTTAGTCAGCTGCAGAGAATATGCTGCTGATTTTATCATGTGTATTTGATGGTACTGATTTTGCAAACGTCTTCAAATAGTATTGAAAATGCTCGTGTCCATAGATTTGTTGATTTAATTTTATGCTAGTTTTAGTATGTGTTGATGAAATGAGAAGTTTTTATGAGCCTTTTGCCTTCCAACATTGGCCTTTTGAGTAGGGAAATGTTCATACTTGTTCAATCAAAACTGTGTTTGGAATAAAGGAATCATAAATCAGAATTGTATTGTATCTAGAGTTGTCTTTGATTGAATGTCCTCATGGGAGAAGAAGAAAGGCTCCAGAGCACCCTGAAAATGTCTCTGAAAGTTTTCAGCACGAATCACTTACGGGAGAGCCTAGGCCCCCAACACACCCAGTTAGAGAACAGCATTCACTGATGGCAGCAACTCATATGAGGCTTCATGAATTTGAAATGCTGAAGCTATGAGGGAAGCCTACAAAGCTGTGCTCATCCACTAGAGGAAATCAAACTTACAATCTTACATGCTCAAAATATGGCTAACTCTTCTCTCCCAGAGTTGGTTTCTTCATTGTCACAGCAGAACCAGAAATTATCTAGATACTTTTTTTCTTCTATTTTGCTTGATTAAGAGATATTCTCCTCTGCAGACGCATTGATCATTTTCAGACACTGATGGACAAACTATTTTCATTTTTACTGCTAATTAGTAGAACTTGTATAGTTGAATTTTGAATAATGACAGCTTGCTGTCCTCTCTCACATTCTGTTTCGTTGTTCAAACCTCCAGATGACAGGTTGTAACAGACTGAGAATTCATATGTGCCTGATATCATTTCCACCGTCCCTGGTAGTTTTAAAGTCTGCCTGTATGTGAATCTGTCTTTTGTCTTCACTGGTAGATATAGGACAACACTTTTTGTGAAGTTTGGTTAACTCTCTATCTCCAGAGCGGCTTTTCCCACAATGCTAGAGCCCAGGTTTGGTACAAAACTTAATGGTGACATACATGTCACTAAATTGGTCTTAAAAAAAGAACTTCCAGTGAAAGAGACCAGTTTTGCAGAAAATTAATATAACGTCCATGTCGTCGTAAAGGAATGTGCTGGAGCCTTTTCCAGTGGTTCTCTGCACAACAGTTCGCACATCAAGCCACTGGGAGCGACTTGCAGTGTGTATCTAAGCTCACAGCAATGTTACAGAAAGCCTAATCAATATTGTGATAATATATAGCATGCTGACAAAATGGGTTTCTTCTCAGATTTGAGCCCTATGGAAATAGATACATCACTCTTATATGTGAAGCTTTTACAATTTGTAAGTGTGAATTAATAAGGTATCAATAGAAAATCTACAAATTTGACCCTTATTATGTCGATTTTTGGCAATATCTCCTTTTGTGGATTACGAGAAGTAACATTTTGTCAGCACGCCTCACATATTATGATGAAATAACTATAATGTCTACAATACACTTAGCAAACATGCCACGTACTGAATAGATTTTCACGTACCGCATTATTTTCTTGTACGTGTATATTCTTTGTATTTAAAACATGTAAGTAGCAAAATTCGTACATAACGAAAAAACTTTTGCATACTGCCGGTTTGACTATGTGCATGCTAGACTCTGTGTGTGTGTGTGTGTGTGTGTGTGTGTGTGTGTGTGTGTGTGTGTGTGTGTGTGTGTTTGTGTGTGTGTTCACAGGTACACAATAGCAGAAAAACATGACCTCTGTCCTAATTAGTACCGTTTAGTATGCTCCGCGACTATAATCATGTCACTTTATTATTATTATTATTATTATTATTGTTATTATTAATATAATTATTATTTTAATTTTATGAATGTTGCTATAATTGAATTTACTATTGTTGTTATTGTTGATGTTGCTATTGTTTTTTATAATTAATTACTGTATTACAAGCATCTTTATTAGTATTAGTTTATCTTTTCTTCTTGTTATTTTAGAGGTTTCCAAATACCCGTCTGAGGACCACTTTAACGCTGATGTCCAATGTTTCATTTTGTCTGGCTACAAGTAGAAGCTGAAAAAAATGTTTCTGAATCACTCGTTAACACTCTTTAGCCTTCAGATAATACATGTTCTCTTATTAGTCACAATTCCGCACAATTAATTTTGAAACATTCACATTACTGTCTGTGATCAACAGACTGATCCATTATAATGATTGATGAAAATTTATAATTTACCCAATTTAGTTTTACCAGCTTAACAGTATAGCCTACTTTGTAAAGACAGTGGTACCGGTAAAATCTTTCTACAGTTTTCATCTTCTACTACAAAATGAACATTATGGAATTATGGCAGCACTCTTTTGGGATGTAGATAATTTTTATATTCCCTTGTTAATTTTTCAGTTTCTGCTGAATTTTTGTCCCTTCCAATTTATGCCATTTTTATGGAGCATATGGCATGTTTTATGTGTCTCGACACGGTGGAATCAGACGCTTGCCAATTTTTGGACTTGTGAAAATATTGGTATCCTTTTTGAAGTTGTTCATTTGTCTTGCTTTTGGTAAAAAATAGGCCTACTCATCTGTCATGAATAGAAGTCAAGACACCCCCCAGAGCGGTGCTATTGACTGAAGTGTCTTTAGGCCATTCCCAAAGGGGGGGACATTAACCATGTTCTTATGCACAGTAGAAATGTAATTGTAAGTATGGGCTGATTCATTGTCATGCTCATAACTGTGCCTGAACTGCAACTGAGAACTGCTGCTTTTTCTTTTCTAATCCTTACTATCATCATTTTCCTCTACTTCTTTTGTATGTTTGTCACACTCTTGTGACCCACTATTTCTGGGGTGACTTGATAGTCGAAGCAGAGCTTGTGCTGTTGAAGCAAGAGAGGTGAGCAGAGTAAGACTGATTCCCTGTAAGGACTTCTTTGTTAACTTCCACCCCTTGGCGCTCATAAGACCTTATGCAGTTGCAAGCACCGTAAAACCTGTACTAAAACAGAAACAAAACAAGAAGTCAAGATATTTGCGATTGAAGGAGGTGGGGTCGTCTGATTTCAGAGGTAAAATTAATCCGAAAATGGTCGCCAAAGTTTAGCTGCCTCCAAAACTTGAGAGTCCTCAGAAACTGCAAATTTACATTTTTGTGCCTTAAATCAACGTTTCTCAGTAAAATTACGCACAGAAATGTTGGATCTTAAAGGTGTTGAGTCAAAAAACTTAAATTGGATTAAAATTTCCCAAATGGACAGAAAAGTGCCAGTTTCTTCGATTTCATTATTTTGACTAGCACCTGATTTCACCACGATGCTTCACATATTTACTCTATGTGCCTGTTTTATTTGGTTTATTGCTCAATATTGGGAGTTGGAAATGACTCTCTTGAAGAAAGTATTCTTTCCGGTCTAAAATATTTAATCAAAAGAAAAGGAAAAAGTGAGTATCGGCTTTTAGTGTAAGAAAAGCATTATTTGTGTGTGACTTCACATAACATGTTTTTAACTTTCAAACTTCTGTTCTGATTGTGCAAACGGTTGAAAGGGGAGATGGCCCAAGACCAGCATTATTTTTTTTGTTTGTGATTGTCTCATTTTACTTTTCTGCCAAATCATGCCATTCATGCTAATTTCACTAATTGTTTCAGATCGAATGGGTTTATTCATTTACTTTGTGTCTTCATTCATATAAAATTTGAATCTGTTTTTGGTTCATGACTTCTTATACTCATATTATTTTGAAATATATTATTTGCCCCCTTGTACTGAACATGTTGGGTACCCTGTGGTAGATTAGTGCTTTTTATCCTTTTGTAATGCCTTTCTCAGCATCAGTATTTTATTATATAAACAAAAGTCCAGACACTCTTTTATCTGCCAAATTTCTACCCGTTTCTGATAGATTATTTCTCCCCTTTTCTTGGTGTTTTGGTAGAGGCAAGGTCTGACGAATATGAAAATTATTCTACAGATGAATTAAATAGGTCCTAACACAGCCTCCTGCCTCAGGGCATCAAGCTGTAATATTACTGTATACCTCTGTAGACTAGTGGTTAGGCTACCGGACTGGTAATCTTGTGGCTGCGGGTTCTGTGTTTGAACCACAGGCCCAATGTTGTATCCTTGGGAGAGGCTCTTTACATGAAATTTCCTCACTTTACCCAGATAAAAGATCTTGTCAGTATGCTAGTGTTTTAGCACCTATTAAATGGCAGGTAAGATTGTTTCCGAATGCTATCAGGCCTGCTGAGGTTTATTTTATTGTAGTATTATAGATTGTTAAGCTCATAGAGCTTGCTGTTGATTGGGAATTTGTGCTATACAAATGCTGTCTATTATACATGCAAGATAATATAATGGCCTTTATATTTGCGAGTCCCTTCTCAACTTTTTTAACGAACGGTCCGCAAGCTGTTCAAATGTCTTAAGGCCAGAAGCCAGTATCTTTCAGGAGAGAAAAAAAAATGTTCATTATTTTAACAAATTGAGCCTACTTTTTCTCTTTTTTTTTTTGTTCTCAACATTTAGAACTTGAATTTTAACAAAACGTTTCTTTACCTCATGCAACCAATGTCACAGATTATAAAATTGTAATAAAAGTTTTATTTTAAAATTTTGGGCGAAGTACATTTTAACTGCTGGCTTGCAAAATGTGGAACTGTGGCTTTTGTTCAACACAGTGAAATTTTCTTTTCCTTGAAACAAAACTCAAATGTGAAGGAGTAGGAAATGTATATGAGTAGTAAGCGTGCAGGAGTAGAATTTGCTGAGTACAGGGCTAATTCTGAAAACCGAACTGACTGTAGTGTGAAACTGAAAGGCAAGCAACATCCTCCTCCTCCTCCTCCTCCTCCTCCAGGTTAATGAAGCACTGTAGCTTACACCCTGATCACTTTAATTAGTTTAAATCGTTGTATGGAATTAAAAGGGTTCTGCTATCTGCATTTTTTGGTACTGTTGAGATATTAGACGTTAAAAGTTTGTGAATTTTAAATGCAAAATCAGAATCAGATACAACCTTTTTCACGTATATTTTTCTCAGAGCAGAATAGTCATTTCAAAACAAATGGTAACTCAAAACATTCACAAAATGCAGATAGAACACTTTTATTCTGGTATGGCAAAATGTAGATGAGAATGCAAAGCAAGGCAGAGTGATCCAGTCTTAGGGGGCTGGCCTGTAAATGCAAAGAACTTTTATTCTGGTATGGCAAAATGTAGATGAGAATGCAAAGCAAGGCAGAGTGATCCAGTCTTAGGGGGCTGGCCTGTAAATGCAAAGCATTGTTCTTCCTAGTTCGATACTCTCCTGGCTTCCAGTAATAAAATCTTGTTACATTATGATTTGACTTCGCGGAAGAAGAATTTTCTTGTTGTTTTGTTTATTCAACAGAAATGAATATGGACATGTGTTATCACACATGGCATTTTTTAAATATTTTTTTTATCTCGCTGTTTTTACACAAGCAAGAAGGCATGCCATGTGTGCTCAACAAGGTGCCTCCCCCCTCCCCAGATAAGCTCTCTCATAACAATCACATACAAGATACACACACACACACACACACACACACACACACACACACACACACACACACACACCAGTGCATACTCTCAAACATACAAAACATAACATACAAAACAACAAGAAAACTATCACAGTTTGATAAATTGTGTGAGTGCATGTGTGTGTGTGTGTGTGTGTGTGTGTGTGTGTGTGTGTGTGTGTGTGTGTGTGTGTGTGTGTGTGTTTGTGAGTGCACATGTGTGCATGTGTGTTCCAAGCCAAGTAGGATCAAGTAAAGAGGAAAACATGTACTCAGTATTCTATGTACTTGCTGGCACAATGAAGTCTTGCTGTGTGTTGGGAAGGTGGAGGGGCTTGGTATAATAATTATAAGTCAGGTAGCCCCAACGTCTACTGCTTAGGCTCTCGGACTGTCGACCGTAAGGTCGTGTGTTCGAATTCCATTTGGCCCTCGATGTTGTGTCCTTTGGGAAAGGCACGTTGCATGAATTTTACTCACTTCAATCAGGTGAGAATACATGCAGCAAACATCATCAAGAATGTGGTATACCCCCAAAGCCAAGTAGTATTCCTAACAGATGCCATGTCAGTACTGCAGGCAATTACTTCCAGCAAACTACCAAGGCTACGAAAAGTAATTCAGGACATCCCATGTCTGAGGATCATGCTGCAGTGGATTCCATCACACTGTGGTATCTTAGGAAATGAGCAGGCAGGCAGGATGGCCAAACTAGGAGCACAGAAAGAGCAACCAGACAACAGCTTTAACTACACAGAAATAAAAACTATTATAAATACACTATTTAAAGCACCTCAGACACCAGATGGCTACCATGAGCTGTCCCGCCAAGAGCAAGTGATCATCTTCAGACTAAGGACACAACACACAAGACTGAGACAACATATGTACAAATGTTTTAAACTAGTACAATCACCAAAATGCCAGTGTGGAGAGACGGACCAAACTGTTGAACACATCCTTCAGCACCGCAAGACACACATGGCCCTGAGACAGGAAACGTGGCCAACCCCACTGACGCTACAAGAGAAGCTATACGGGCCGACAGATGAACTGAGCAGGACGGCCCAATTTATGACAGATACTAGACTTCAAGTGTGATGCGATCGAGAAGAAGAAGAAGACGAATCGGGTGAGAACGGCTGCTCAGCTATAAACAGTGAAAAGTCTTGTCAGTTAGTTTAGTAGGCTATTTGAGTGTTTCATTGGCCGCTGCACACATTGTATGCTTCCCGGGAAGAGGAGAATATTTCTGAATTTTCCTGGGTCTGCTGGGGTAATAATAGTTGGACATTATAGAATAGAATATTCTGTAGAACATTGGTGATGATTATAAATC